TCCCCCCCCCCCCCCCCCACACACACACGTCTGCCCACAGCCTGCCAGGTCACCTGCGGGCTCTCTTTGTTTGTCAATTGCAGGGCGGGAGGCTCCGACCAGGGCGCGGACCTGGACAGCAGTGATGTGTCGGGTCCCCCGTGTGTGTGCCTCCGCCAGGATCTTTCCCCCTTTTTTCCTCCCCTTTCCTTTATAGGTTACTCCCGGGTCCCATCATATTGTTCTGGGAAAGAAAGGGGGGGGTGGGGAAGTCGCCCCGCAATTTATTCCAATGGGTGGTTTTTAAGAAGCTGGCAATTTGAGACGGCTGGGTGTTATTTAGTGCAATATGAAATCAAATGATCCTATTTCTCAAATAACAGTGTGTGTGCGCGCGAGGAGAAGTGAATACTCTGAAAGGGTAATTGTCTCCCGATGATATTTCCATTATACCCCGATCCGGACCAAACGCTATTCAGCGGCCCGGCGGAAAGCAGAAGGGTAAAATGAAAAGAAAAGAAAAGAAAAGAAAAGAAAAGAAAAGAAAAGATTCAGGCCCCTCTGCATTTTAGCAGATGGAATGGATTCCTTGCATTCTGGACAGTGCCCAATCCCCACCTGAAGCTGTTAAGCCAAAGCCATTCTAGTGGGGGTATCATTTATTATTATTATTATCGCCATTATTATTGCTACTATGATTATTATGATGATTATTATTTTGAATGGAGGAACGACACTAACTTCTCTCCACTCCTTGAAACTTTTCAGCCTGAGCCCCTGTCCTGTGGTGCGAGGCGCTGACACGGTCATAGCTCAGTGGAAATCCTGATCATACAGAAATGTTTAAGGTAACTAAAGAAAGAAGAGGGGTTGGGGGAAAGCATCCTTTCCCTCTTAGCAACAGGGGGGTTCCAGGACTTCCCAAGCCAGTTACACAGATGATTGCTATTACTTTCGTTCCTTAAACCTGGAGTTTGCTTCTGGGACACGATTTGAGCCATTCGCAGCCCTTGAATCGATCAAATTTTGTTCTGGATTTTTAAATACTCTCTCCCGGCCGACTTACTCACTGGAGTCAGAGAGGGATTCTCTGCAGGGCTTGTCAGTTTGCTTGGGGAAACACACACGCGCGCGCGCGCACACACACAGAGAGAGAGAGAGAGAGAGAGAGAGAGAGAGAGAGAGAGATTGTGAAAACAGCGTTTAAAGAACCATCGGGTCACACAGTACCGTAAAACAAAGCTCCGTATAAGCATATTTATTAGATTGATTTTAATGGCGTTGCAGCTATCACGTCTGTACACTTTCACGCATTTGTTCGTTGCATTAATGGCTTTTTTCCCCTTCCTTTTCCCCCCCTTTTCCCCTCTCTCTCTCTCGCTATTATTTAAGCATTGTGCCTGATACAAAAGAAAACGCATTTAGCCCGCGATAGCAGCTAATCGCTCTGAAGGCTGTTTATTATGAAAACTGACACAATTCACCTTTAAAAGCAGCGCCTCACATTTCAAACCGCCGTGCTAAATAGAACCAAGCGGGAGTCAAGGTAAGGTGCCTGGTGCGAGGCAGAGACACGCTGCAAGGAGCTGTCCACGTTTTCAGCACCAGCAGTTAGGTTTACTCGCAGAGCCGGCTGCTGGAAAATTACGGTACGATGGCATAATTCTCCACAATTACATAAAAAGAGGGGTGGGGGAGGAAACAAAGTTGCTGGGACATTTTCAGTCGGAGACCTGAGTCCCCGTGGGCTGTTAGGTCTGCTGGCTTGAATGGCACGGCGCCCCTGCTCGTTGGGACTGAAGACAGCGGAGAATTCTCCAGTCGGACACATCACGGCCGCTTCGTCAGGGCAGGAGCAGCTCCGAGGGGTCGCCTGCGCTTTCGGGGGTCCGTAGAATTACGGTTACTGAGCAAATGATTAACTCCCACCCACTTCAAGGGTTTACAGTTCTCTTACGCTGTGCTGTTACATGAGTCCAGAGATCAGGGATCATCATGTATATATGTTTGCGTGTGGATGCGCGTGTATGTCAGTGATGTGAGTGTGTATGTGTGGGCGGGCGAGAGTTGGTGACCGCCGGGAACTG